TTCTGAACAATCAGCAAATATTGAATCAGCAGTTTTTACTTCTAAGTCATCAAGTCAAATTATTTTGAATTGCAAAGTAAGTTTTTTTTATAATTTTTTTTTTCAGATATATTTAAAAAAAAAACAATATGAGTATGAATAAAATAATTAATACAATAATGAATAAAATAAGTTCATTAAAAATGAAAAAACTTTTTCAAAAATTTTATTTCAACTAATTGATTTAATAGATGTTGTTATGTCTCGAAAGAAAAACAGTGGATTACGACATATTTAAAGGTCTTATGAGTTTTATAAGTTGTTTAAAATTTATGTGTTTGAAAAATAAAAGTTTATCTAATGTGGCTTATCTTTTGTCACGTGAACATATGTAATGTGTAATTTTAGCCATAAATGACAGTTGCTTAGTGTTTGATGGTAAATTGGTAATTGACTTAAAATTTCAAACAAATGATCCAAATATTCTTGCTGCTGGTCCTTTAACAAAATATAGCCGACGTTTTTATAGTGATAGTTTCTCTCATGCATATTTTAACTCTGAAGAAATAGGTATAAAACTTGCACAATATTTTTTTGAAAAACTGTATCCGAACATAGATAGCATTTCAAAAAAAGATCCCGATCTTGCAGTTCATTTTCAAAAGCCGAAGTTGGTGTACTGCAAATTGCTAGGTTGATTTTTTTATCTTTTGTTTATTTTTTGTTATTTTTATAAAGTACTAAGTTTTTTCTTTTTTCAAACAGTGTAGTTTGGACCATTTCAGTGTAATATGCCCTTAACATTGCAGTATGTGCCATATCAGTGCAGTATGCACCAAACGGTGTAGTATGCACCATAATATAACTGACATACACATTACATACTAAATAATTATACATTATATAAAGGGCAACAAACTTATAAAGTACACTCTGAAGCAGAGTAAGATATTTATAAACTAATTGTTTTTTAATTTCTTGATTTTTTTTTTTTTTTCTGATGATTATTTTGAATATCACATAAATTTTATTACTTTTTTTTTTAATATTATAAGAAATCTTCAAGATAAAATTTTCTTTATGAATAAATTTCTATTTTTTAAAAGTGTTAGTGTAAAATGAAATAGCGGGTAGAACGAAATAGTTATGACAATGATTATCCTTGGATCTTAATTAACTATTGAATAATTTTTTTGCAAATATTTTTTGATTATATTGTAGAGAATATTTTTCTGAGTAAGATTGTATAAAATTTTATTTTTAATAAAAAAATTTTTGTTATAAAATTATAAATTTTTGAATGTGTAATAAGATTTTTTTTATTTGTTTGAAAAAGGAACTTAAAACTCTTGGAAATTAAATTCGGTATCATTGAATTTAAAATGTTTAATGATACAACTTCTTACGCTGATCAAGAATCTTTTTTCAAAATTAAATTTGCTGTTTAGGAATTATGAGTTATGAGTTAAAAACGGAAAAGGAGTGTTGTAGGGTTGAATGAAATACGCTAATTAATAAATAAATATGAAACAATAGATTATTTCTTAAAAGCAGCTTTTTTTATTAGGTCTCAAGTGACCAATAAATCTACAACTATAAATATTTTTTATAAATTTCAATGAATAAATTTTTCTAACTGAATTTAAATCACTTTTAATTACTGCTTTTATAAAATGGTTCTAATAAATGAATGAAATATGCTAGTTACTCTCTTATTGCAGTCATCTTGTCTGCAAACAACCTTCATTGCAAACTGCAAACAACCTTCATTACAAACTGCAAACAACCTTATTGTAGTAACTCTGGCTATTCAAAAGGAAATTCAAAAAGAGGTTGCAAAACAACTGCAATCAGCCCAATCACTTGCAGCAGCTTTGCAACAAATGTTGACACACAAAAAAATAAAAAATGTTGATATTTTTTTTTTTTTTTTTTTTTATTTTACTTCACCTCCTCAAGGCCGAGAAGGCCACTACAGACGAGGAGGCTACTTATTTTGTGGCTATAACCCTCTCTCAACTCTATAACTCCGAAACACAAACCTTGACGAACAAGGCCGCTGCGCAGAGAAACGAGTTGAGCGCGGTACTACCAGGGACGTGGTGGGGATCGAACTTGGAACCACTTGTTTATGAAGCGAGCGCTCTACCACTGCACCACTACCACATGATATGCCAAGATTCGAAGGGAAGTGTCTCAACAAACCTAAAATACTTGAAAGGTTTAAAGATGCTGAGAGCAAATAAGCAGCAAACCAAGCTAAAAAACAACATAAGCTTAGCTCTAATGGAGAACAGCAAATAAACCAAGCAACAAGTCTGACGAAAATATTAGCAGCAAACCAATTCAACTGTAAAAAGTGCCAAAAAGTTTTGGGCGAAAATTCAGCAAGTCAAAATATGGAACCCGTGTGAAAATTCAAATTGCAAGGTTTGGCTATGTCATACATGCATATCAAAGCAATATGTAAAAGGCGCTGAGTTTTATTACACCAAAAAGTGCCACAAGTAAAAACTCCCTGTATGTCAGTGTAGAATGGAATACATTTTTTTAATCAAATCATAAAAAACTTTACAAAAAATTGGTTACATTTTTATATATTTAAATACAGCTCAATACTCTCTACAACTTTAAAAAAAAAAAATCTTTTTTCCGTAAAAAATTAATAATTAAAATCCTTAATTAAACTCCATTTGACCCCATTTTACTCTATACTTTTTTGCTATATATATTTTAAAGTTTTTTTTTTTTTTTTACAATTATAATGCAATATAAATACTTTTATTCAAATTAAACCTCTATATAAAAACATTTTAAGTCAAGAATAATTTTAGTTAGATATGGTTGGTTATTATCTGTTGCAATATTTTTAACTAAAAGGTTAAAATATTGCAACAGATAATAACCAACCATAAGGTTGGTTATTATCTGTTGCCATATTTTAAGAGAAAGGTTATGTATTATTAAGGAGAAATATCTTTTTCATGCATCAAACTTTTTATTTATATAACTATCTCTTACTTTTACATTTAGATTTATTTGTAAAAGTTAACTTGTAGAGTGAATTCAAAAATAAATATTTTATGTATTATTAAAGAGAAAGCAACCTTTCTCTTTAATAATACATAAAATATTATGTATTATTAAAGAGAAAGGTTGCTTTCTCTTTAATAATACATAAATATTTATTTTTGAATTCACTCTACAAGTTAACTTTTAAAAATAAATCTGAATGTAAAAGTAAGAGATAGTTATATAAATAAAAAGTTTGATGTATGAAAAAGATATTAAAATGTTGATTTTGCTACAACCACTTTTTTAACATTTTTATAAAAAAGAAAAAAGTCATCTGATTATCTGCAAATCAAAGAACTTTTGTTTTTGTTAGTTCATTTTTAATGTTTTGTGTCTCATTTATGGCATGATAATTTGTTAGTTTTAATTTCCCTAAATTGTAGAAATTGATTTTTTTTTTCTATTTTTTTATTGTTTTGTGATGTTTTGTGTGGCTTGCTCTATTGTTGTATCCTAAGCAAGTTTTTGTGATTATTTTCTTTTTTTCCCTCTAGTCATTTTTTGCCTGTAATTTGCTAATTTCTGACATCCTTATACATAGATATTTTTAGGAGCTTTGTATTTTTAAAATTACAAATCTTCTTGTTACTTTGTTAAAACTATTTTTTTTTAACTTTTTTTGTTTAACTTTTTATTAATATTTCATAGGAATAACGACAAGTATAATAAAAAAATCATTATTCCCTTGAAATAATGTTGAAAAGTTTTACAAAAAATGAAGAGTTTAAATCATAAAAGTTTGTCATTTAATCATAGAATAAATCATAAAAACAAATTATCATGCCATAAATGAGAAACAAAACATTATTTATTTAAGCATCCATTTTTAAATTTCATATTTTGAATGTAATTGAAGTATATATTTTATTGAGAAAGCATTTTTTTTGTAATGCAGCAGTATTATTATTATTTACTGTTGTTATTATTTTATATTTATACAAAAAAATAAAAAAGTATAAAATAATAATTTATTCATCAAAATAATAATTACTGCATTAAAAGAAATATTATAATAATAACCTAACAGATTGTTTCTAATTTAATATGAGCAAACAGATTGTTGTTTTTAATTACAATTTAGAAGTAACCTTGTGATTTTTAAACTGACAAGTCGTTAATGAGTATTAAGGGGGTATCCTGGCATTATTTTTATTTTCTTATATTTTACTCATAATAAATACCTTTGACAAAATACTAGCATATTAGATAAAAATCTAAAATGTATTGCAAAAATGATTTTCAATTTTTAAAAAAATAATTGCTGACTCAGCAAAAAAAAAGTCAAAAAACTAGTCTCAAGAACATAAATATCTTAAGATTACATCAATATTAAAGATAGAAATACTAGTGTAACTTGTGACTGAACTAAAAATATTTTTTTAGATCAGGCACAAGTTTAAAGATCTAAAATGGCAGACTTAATAGTTTAAAAAACTATTTTTAATGATATAACACTCAGTTAATTGTATTTCAAGTTTAGTTATTATTATTATTATTTTAGGTTCAGGCACCAAACACTTTATTAATGAAAATATCCTGAAAATTTGAGATATACATTGTTTTCCTACAGCTACTCATAGAAAAAGAAATTGAAAAAAATCAATTTTAAAATTAAAAATCATGTACACTAATCAGATAAATCATCAAAAATCACCAACACAAAAATCTTTTGCAGTAATTAAAAAAAAAAGATATTTACTATTGAATTTTTCTATTGGTTCAGTTGTCTAAATAACATTTTTCAAATTTTTCATTTTTTTTTTAATTTAATGCCATTACCAGCTTGGTACAAATTTTTTTTAATTTTTTTTTCAAAATCTTTAACATGCATTAAAAGAAAGTATGATAATCAATAATTAATAAAATACAGTTATAAGAATGAAAATTTATCACATTTATTGTAGAAAACTAAATTTTTTCAACTGTTTTTTTAATTTTTATTTAAAAATAAATAATGATGTAAACAAATATCACTTTATAAACATATCATTTAGGTAAGATGATTTTTATATGAATAATAGCTGAAAATTTGCCTAACAGAATACTCCTTAGGCAAGATTTATTTGTCCATATGAAATGCTCCTTAGAAAAGTGCAATTTATGTGCTATAATCTAGTGGCACTAGTGGCGAGTCATAACTCAAATGTAGTTGTTTTATTATTCATTTAAAGTAAAGTTTTAAGGGTTGGTTATAAATGGTTTTTGAAAGTATAAAAAAATTAGTTTTTTAAACTTTGTAACTATGGTTTATTATGGTCTATTTCTTAAAGCTAGTGCTTAGTTATTATAGTTTAATTAAGGTTTGTATAAAATGTTTTAGGTGATTTTTCATACTTTCGTGTGTGGAAGCAATTTAGTGAAAATTTTTGTTCAACTGGTGTAAGTTTTTATTTTATTGTTTCAAGTAACATTGATTTGTGCATGTGTATATATATGTATATATGTATATATATACATATATATATATATATATATATATATATATATATATATATATATATATATATATACAAACATATATATATATATATATATATATATATATATATATATATATATATATATATATATATATATATATATATATATATATATGTATATATATATACCCTTATATTAGTGAAGTTTTTTTCTTTCGGATTTTCAAAATGCCTACCCCCTATCTCTTTTTAAAGTATGTCGACAGATCCCAAAAAGAAATTTTAATGTGGGCCATATATGGCATTTGCGTGATAACCATATGCTTACCACTCTCCTTTATGGGATGGCGTTTATGCGTCCCATATGTAGCTATAATGTTTATCCCACTAAAACCACACCAAATAAGAACAAACGTCACGCTTCATTTTTGCGTAAAAGTTTCATGTGGCCCATGTGTGGCAGGCACATGTTATCCATATATTTACCACTCTCCTTTATGGGATGACGTTGCTGCGTCCCATATGTGGCTATAATGGTTATATATATATATATATATATATATATATATATATATATATATATATATATATATATATATATATATATATATATATATATATATATATATATATATATATTAAAAATATAAAAATATCAATTAATACGAGTTCTCTCAATACTATTGTTAATTTAAATTAAGAATAGTATTGAGAGAACTCGTATTAATTGATGTTTTTATATTTTGAACATATATACTCTCATACAAGATGTCAACATTCAAATCATATATATATATATATATATATATATATATATATATATATATATATATATATATATATATATATATATATATATATATATATATATATATATATATATATATATATATATATATATATATATATTTATATATATGAAAAATAATATGCTTCTTGCTTTTTGTTATAAATTCATTTACAATAATTTTCATTTAATTTATTTATTCACTCATCTCTCGATGCATACGTCTACCACCACGATCTGCTGAGTTATGCAGTGTAGCGGTAATGGCTTCATTGACATCTTTGTCTGTAGCATTTTTGCAATGCCTTCGAACAGCAACTAAAATCAGTTTATTATTATTTATTATTTCATTGATACAAAATAGTTTATTTATTTAGGGTTAAATTCAACTTTGTTAATAAGTATGAAATTTGACAAATGGTTAACTCTAATAAAATACTTTACTTACTTGCAATAAACTTTACAAAAGCCTCAATTAAATATTTGTTTGAGCGTTTTCCAGAACGACAACAATTCATCTGTAAATCACCAGTCATGAAAACATTCAAAATGTTTCGTACCATATCAGATATATATTTTCCACCTGCTGTTGGTAGCCACTTAATCTACATTCAAAAAAAGAAAGTGAACAATTTAAAAGTACACAAAGATTTATAAATACATACATAAATATATATAAGTAATTACTAAAAAATAAAATTTATATATGAATAAAAATTATATAAAAATAAAACTTTATATTATATAAATAAAAGTTAAATATTCTAATGTTTAATTTTTCAATTGATTTTCAATGGATGCAACCGGAGTTTTAATTTAAAAGTTTTTCAATAAAATTTAAGTAAAACTTGCAAAAAGTGAGGTCATTTCTTCATCCTGACATTGGAACAACACAGCATCTAACTCTTTTATGTTACTTGATTTCTTGAGTAAACTTTCTTCAGTATGACCAATTGACATACGCTCTGTCAGATGTTTAATCTATTTGTAGCAGATTTTACTAAATCTAATCGAATCAAATTGTTATAAGTATTTAAAAAAAAGACTAATTAATATATGTACTTTAAAACATTTTTTACCTTTAAGTAGGTTTTCAATGGAAGACAATCGGTATTCAATTGACTGTGTGATTGGTGTCATAGTGTGAGCGGAGTTTTTACTGTGAGGAATTCGCAAGAACTCCTGAGATAACTCCAACAAAATATATTATAAATATATTATTAATATATCAACATAAACAATTTAAAAAATATAATTTTCTAGTTTAATTACATTTATGAATATTTTAATTTAATGATCATTAAATATAATTATTCTACTTAACAGCAAACTTATAATTACTGAAATAAAATTTAAAAAAAGCTTACCGAAGGTAAATTTATTTCTTCAGGATCATTTGGTAATGACACGAAGCTTTGACTAGATTTGCCTTGGTGTTGGATCTCTCGAAAAACGTTCTAATCGTTCATCAAATTTTAATATCTAATAATAACTTTAACAAATTTTAACTTAAAGTAATGCTATCAAGTAACACGTTTAATACTTACAGCATGGCATGGTATTGGCAGTAATGGTTGGCTACAAGGTGTTGATGTCTAAAATAATTTTATATTAATTAATAAAATCTAGTAAAATTTTATCTAACTTAAGAAAATAAAAACATTTTTTGATTGTAATCATTAAGTGTAAGTCAATGTTAAAATAAATATTTAACATTAAAAATAATTATTTAAAATTTTTTTCATTAACTTGTTTACGTTTGTTTTTAATAAAGTCACTTTATACCTTATAGAAATGACAGCTGGCTGAAGAGTGGCCCACATGTGGGCCACATATATCTTTTTTTTAAGGGAGGAGGGCCCCCCCATACAACCCCGTTGGTAAGGCCCTGTATATAAGTAATATAGTTTTAAATATTATTCTTTTAACAATATTCCATTTATAATCTAAATCACACATAAAATCACATAAAAAAAAACATAGTTTAGTAATGATAACAAATTGTATATTACAATAACTAAAAGTCCTAATACACCTAGGCTTTTGTTTTTTATTTTATATATTTACACTTTTTTATTTATAAATATTTATTTTTATCGCTCAAACATACTAACTACAGTTATTAATTGAAAATTATCAAGACTTTGAACCACATGATATCATGGAATATTCTAGAGTTTACAATGCATTGCAATAGAATTATTACAATTGGTTAAAATTTAAGATTCAAAATGACGCAAGATCGTGAGTTTTATATGTAAGGCCCATATGATAGCCACATCAAATTTAGCGCGTATTTATTTAAGGATTATGCCACATTAAGTAGAATAGTTATGTGAACCGCATTATGTCTTCCACAAGTGGGCCACACTTATCTTCAGCAAATACGTCATTCATCAACTGTAATATATTTGTTCACTTTTAATCCACTCGAAAGCACTATGACCACATGTGGGCCACATATACCTTTCTTTTCTGTATCTCTGAAGATTTTAAAAGTTGCTATTTAAAACCCTTCCTGTTATGTAGCTAAATCAATTGAAACATTTATATTTTATAAGATATTACATTAAAAGAATATAAAATTACAGATAAAGCAGGATATTTTCTTTTAATGACCAAATAATATAGCTAGATCTAGATGTGAAACGCAATTAAAATATGTCTCAAATATAGATTTTTTTGGCGTTATGTGTCAGTTTACATTTTTTAAAAGTTGCACTTTTATAAGTTAAAAAAATACTCAATTGAGACGTAACTTTGATAATTTTTTTTTCGTGACAAATTACTTAAAAAAAAAAATTTAAATTACCAATTTAATAGACTTACTTAAATATAAAGTTTTATCTTTCTTCGGCAAAACTAACGCATGCCGACAGAACTCAAGATTTCAAAAATTGCTGTTTTTTTTAAACCTCTAGTTACGTAGCTAAATCAATTGAAACAATTATATCTTATAAAATATTTATTAAAAGAATATAAAACTACAGATCGAGAAGGATATTTTTTTTAAAGGTCTCTTTTTTACAGTCTAGATACAGATTTCTTAAACACAGCATAGCAATAATTGCTTTTTCCTTATTGTTCTTCCTTTGTAGTGATCAAACCATAAAAGTCTTTATTAAGTTTTACTGCTCTTTTAGCTGCATCACTTTTTTGCCTCTAAATAGACAACATCTTTATCCCACGTTAAAACAGGTCTCTGGAGGAAGTTCTCATTAATTTTAATTAGATAATCATCACGTAAAACAGTTTTTTGCAGTTCTTGATTATAAAATGTCAACAATTCTTCAAATGTTGTAATACTAAAATATTGTTTGGCGATATCGATGTATTTTTCAATAGCAGTCAGATTAGTAGTTTCATAGTTTTCCAGTTTTATCTAAACTTTTTGAACATTAGGATGAACAGGGCTACTAGTTGACTTGGTGGATTTTTGTTTCAAATACACATATTAAAACCATTTCATAAGCGTGATGGCAGCAAGCAAAGAGTAGTATTTCCCTGTCTAGTTTTTGTTTCAAAGTACACTAGCTCCTTTTAATGGCCCTGTATTATAATCCTTTTTGTCTAAAATGTGATAAAAGTCTTCCTTTTTCTTTTTGTTGTAGTTTCAGAACTTACTTTTTACTTTGTTACAATATTTAGTCATTAAAAGAAAATATCCTGCTTTATCTGTAATTTTATATTCTTTTAATGTGATAAAAGTCTTCCTTCTTCTTTTTGTAGTAGTTTCAGAACTTACTATTTGATAGGTTCATGGTAACAGTTCCTTATGGTTTTCATTGGTGCTGGTGTGTGGTTGTGATGTTCTTGCGTTTGTATAAAATCTTATGTAGTAAGAAATGATAAAAAACTCACTAGACACATTTGCTGATGTCTTTTTTTTTTCTCTTTTTATAATTATCTCTGTTTTTTCCTGTCTTCTTTTTTGGCTAATTTTTTGTCTACAAAAAATCAACTCAAAAAAAATCCTGGACGCTTGGTTCTTTTTGTTTATGTATTTTTATCCGTTCCAAGGAATCAGCATGTACTATATCAAATAAATTGTTTCAAAAGTTCTCCTTACAGTGCTTGTAAATATCTTTTTTTTTTGGGATTTTTTTTTTTTTTTTGCAACTCTCTCCAAACATGGTGAAGATCTACAAGTTGTTTTACAAAGCTCTGCTAAGGATTCTAGCTTTTTCCCAAAATTCTTGATTTTAACTCTTTTTTAACACTTGCGAATATTAAAAAAAAGTACAGCAAGAACTTGACAGTTAGATGTTAACTTTAAGCCTGTTTTTTAAAAAATCATGTCACCAACTGAGATAAATTTTTTTTATTGCTTTCGAGCTTAACTGCCATTTCTTAAAAATAAAACAATTTGTTAATTATGATTGAATTTTTCTGACGTTGTGAATTTGCTTAAAGCAGTTTTTACAATTTCGTAAAATCGATAATAACTATCTATTTACAATTATTGTAAGTAGATAATTATTATCTATTTACTATTATCAATTGGTACCAAATTATCAAGAAAACAATTATTTATTTTTTTTAATTAATTTTTTAACATTGTAAAAATCACTAGTGAGTATTTTTACCCATTTAATAATAACGTATGTCTATATATGCTTATATATATATATGTATGTATATATATATATATATATATATATATATATATATATATATATATATATATATATATATATATATATATATATATATATGTCTATATATGCGTATATATATATGTGTATATATATATATATATATATATATATATATATATATATATATATATATATATATATATATATATATATATATATATACATATATATATATATATATATATATATATATATATATATATATATATATATATATATATATATATATATATATATATATATATATATATATATATATATATATATATATATATATATATATATATATATATATATATATATATATATAAGCTACCATCTGTAAAGAATTCTTCATCTTTACGTTATACTTTGTTTTTTGTTATTTATTTTAAAAAACAGCGAGATATTTCAACTGGAGGTGAACGGATAGAAGATGTACAAAATTATTTCAGGTTGCATATAAACCAATATAGTACAATTGATGAAATTGTATGCCTCTCATCTCAGGTAAGTTATATAAGGGTTTGTAACAACTTTGTTGCAAGTTATAGCTTGTAATATGGTTAAAAAATCTTTCCTTTTTCTTTTATTATTGTTATTATTTTTTAGGTAATAGATAAAGATAATTTAAAATGTTTATTTGGTGTCCATACAAGTTACCTTGGTAATTTAACAGAAAGATTTGAGAACGGTCTTATTACTGATTTGTATAGGTTTGTTGTTTGTTTTTCTTTATTTATAATAAATTTTAAATTAATTAGAGTCATGATATAATCTAACATATAAAAATTTTAATTTAATACAACTTTTTAAAATATCTGCTATCGGTAAAGTTTTAAGAAAATAACAGAAACTTTTTCTATTTTTACATTTATGACTTATATATTACTTAAGTACAAATTACTTAATTACAAACTAAGATTAAACTTTTTTTACTTTTACTTTTTTTATGACAATCCTGAAATCCCGGGAAATTTTGAAGACTAATCCCAGAAATCCCAAAGATTTCGGGATAAACAACTTGTACGGAATCCCGGGATTTCGTGTTCTCAAAATCTTGGGATTGCCATCCCTAATTAAAACCCTTCAAGACACCTAATAAAGCATAGTACATAACACACCGTTTGAAAATTTTGACTTTTTTGGTTACGAAACATCCCGAAAAAATCCTCTTAGGGTATGAAACTACACATGTCAAGAATACTATATCAACTTACTTTGAAATCCAAAATTAAAATCCGAGAGAGATATTTTGATTTAAATTTTTGAAATAATATAAAAACATTAGCAGTTTTTGTTTTTGAAAATAGCGGTATTGGGGTGGGTCGTAGTGATTTTTTTAATAAAATAACTTTTTTAGACAATTAATTTGTAAAGATTTCGTATTTAATAAATTTTTTTGAGAAATGAGCTATAAGGGGAGATATTTCCATTTCAAGTTTTGAATCGATTAATTTTTGAATCGCGAATTACGATGAAAAATTTGATACGTGAATTGCCGTAAATTTGTACTTTCCTAAAATTTGTACTCTTCGGACATTTCCAATTTTACGGACTTTTTGTACTTTTAGTACATTTTCATACGTTTTATGACCTCTTTGTACTTTATGAATTAGTTTAAATGATATCTTCAAACAGATCACAAGTTCATCTCAGATTTTGAAATGCCTACTTTTTCAAAGGATCATAATCAATGTCGGCAGGTCGTTTGCACACTTTGTATGAAAAAAAGTGACAGAGAAATTTCAGAATATTTCATCAGTGAAATCAAAAGATTGATTTCTGGCAACATCAACTTTGATGATGAGAGGGTTCCACGAGGGATCTGTGTCACCTGTAGGTTCCTGCTTAGAAAGTTAGCTTCTGGAGATGAAGAAGTGAGTATACCTCAACTTTATGACTTCGAATCCATATTGATCAAACCATCAACTCGCCAGACAACTAAATGTGATTGCATCATTTGTCAAATTTCAAAAACCAAAGGGAAAGGAAAGCACCCCTTTGAAAAACTATCTCAGCAAGAAGTGCAAAAAGAAGAAAAATCTTTTGAAAAATGATGCACAAAATGCCTATCTGTCATTGCTCGAGGACTGCCTCATAACTGCAAAGAAGCAACACGTCATGAAAACTTGAAAGCTCTGGCATTGGCAGATCCGTTAGGGGCAGAGCAAATTGCATCATTCATCGTTTCTTCCAAAGAGGTATCTTCCGATGGAACTATTCTGATTAGCCGGTTTCATGGAAAGCCTCTTGAAATCAGACCAGGTATGTTAAAGTATTGTTGCTGGGTTTGCTTTTTAATATTGGTTTTTTTCTTATTTGTTTCTTTATTCACAGGATCAAATGCAACTCAGGGTCTCTCCTCAGAGCCATTGACAACCTAAGATATGATTAATATTCAGCAAAACATTGGACTTTCTAACAATGGAATGAGAAAACTTGGGTCAGCTTTAAATCAAATAAGTCCTGTTCGCATAGTTGAGGCCAATTTTCAACAAAAATTTGCTGCAGCTGGAACTACCCTCAAAAGTTTCTTTACAGTAACCACTTCACAGTTACCAGAATCAAATGAAACACGCCATATTGTTCACTGCACAAATTTGGAAACCCTCAAAGAAAATATTGTTTCATCCAGAGGCTTGCAAAACTCAAACTTCTTAAAGCTTGGCATTGATGGTGGAGGATCATTCTTTAAGGCAGGTTTGAGTCTTATCAGTGAGCATGAAGGAGAACCTCACAGTCCTGTTCAGAAGAAATCAAAATTGATCACCAAAGACAACTTCAAAAACACAAGTGTTCAAAAACAACTGATTGTTGCCATTTCAGAGAACACACCAGAGACTTACCCAAATGTTAAGCACATTCTGGATCTTCTCCAAATCAATGAAATCTCCATTTCAGAAAAACTTGTTATTTCTTGTGACATGAAGCTTGCAAACATAGTTTGTGGAATCCAGTCACACAGCAGTAAGCATCCTTGCTGTTGGTGCAACATAGACTCAGCACATTTGGAAAACTGTGGTCAGCTTAGAACATTCGGGGGCATCAGAGACTTGTACAAAAAATTTGTGAAGTCTGGTTGTGATGCCAAAAGATCAAAAGAGTTTGAAAATGTGATTCATTTGCCAATGTTTGCCTTTCCAGACAGGGAATTGATCCTTTAGGCAATCCCACCCATGGAACTGCATTTGCTCCTGGGAGTTGTCAACCACCTCATCAAGTACTTGGTTCAAGTTTTTCCAAAGACCAAACAATGGTTGGATTCAATCCACATTCAGATGCAACCATTTCATGGTGGCCACTTCAATGGAAAAGATTGCATGAAAGTGCTGAGGAAAATTGAAGAGCTTATGCAATTGACAATTGCTGAAAAAGCACCAGATGCAACAAAGGCATGCCAAGCATTGAGCTCATTTCACCAGGTTGTGGTTTCATGCTTTGGATACACTCTGTTGCCAGATTATGAGGCAAAAATTTGTGATTTCAAAGATAACTACTTGAAATTACCAGTCTCAGTCACACCAAAGGCACATGCTGTTTTTCATCACGTTCAACAATTCATTCATCAGCACAAGGTTGGTCTAGGTGTATTCAGTGAGCAAGCAACAGAAGCTCTTCATTCAAATTTCAAGACCCACTGGCAAAGATTCAAGCGAAACTCTACTCATCCGGAATATTCCAGTCAACTCCTCAGTTGTGTAGTTGATTACAACAGCAAAAAAGTTTAGTTGGAAAGAAAGAAAATAAAAGACTCCTCATTTTCAATTTGGAGAAACTCAGTTTGTGTGTGTGTAAAGAATGTATTTATTTGTCAAAAGAAAAATTTTTGAAGTGAGAAATTTTGATTATATCAAAAAATTGAAAGATGGTTTTCTAAATATTTTCAAATAAAATTTTAAAATTGTGAATATGAATTATTGTCAAAAATGGCATATTTTCTATCTTAATTTTACTTTTTAAATTAGTTAGGCTGTATTAGGACTGATATGACCCCTTTTGTTAAGGGCAGGTTGTAACCAACTTCTATCCATTTGGTGAAAATATTGAATATTTTCAAATCAAAATATCTCTCTCGGATTTTAATTTTGGATTTCAAAGTAAGTTGATATAGTATTCTTGACATGTGTAGTTTCATACCCTAAGAGGATTTTTTCGGGATGTTTCGTAACCAAAAAAGTCAAAATTTTCAAACGGTGAACATTTATCTCCATATCAAAAGTATACATCAACTGTTTTTATTTTGTGCAACTTATTTGATGTAAGCACACATGTCATGAATGGCTCGGATGGCATGGAAAACCAAAATTTTAAATGTTGTTGGCAGTATTTTTGATACCACCTAAAAATAATTTAATAAAAAAGAGCTTCACCAGAATGGGTACTAAACTATTCTAAATCAATTTAGTTTTCTTAGTTATTAATCATCTTGCTTTGTTCAATGTCTTGCTTTGCAAGGTTAATTATTGTTCTATAATTTGAAATTTATGTATTAAATTTCAAATTATGAATTATACTATGTATGAATTAATTATAAATTATAAAAAACTTAAAAAGTGTTGTTTTTTCTAACTCAGTGAACATGAGCAAGTTATGTGCCGGTGCAAATATGACTATAGGATGAAACATCTTAGCCATTGCCTTATGTAACATCCATCATGCTTTATGTAACATCCATCCAGCCCAATGCTAGTAAACTATTCATTATATTAATTATATTGAATGATTGTTATCATTCAATATAATTCATTTTTTAATTTCTAATAATAAATAAAATCAATTTTGAATTTGGTAAATCTAGAGCTTGTTGCTAAAATATGTTAACATAGTGTTGAATTTAGAAAGGCTATATATCTCTTAGAAACACATGATTTTTTTTTTTTTTTGTACGTTTTATGTTTAACTTAAATGCGGATTTAAGTGCTGTAAAATTTTGTTAAACATGTTTCTTTATAGTTATTTTAGACAATCGTGGTGTTTGCCGATATACCATGATCGCTTCACCGATTTTCGATGTGAGATCCGAGATATTTTTAAAATATCAGATGTAAGTAATTCTTCAAAAGTTGTTATATATATGACATCTTTTTAGACGTCATGTGTTTTGATTGTTTTCTGATTTTAGCTGATGATAAATATTTTCAGTATTGCGCTTTTATTTTTATTAAGTATTTGTTTTGGTTTTTTAGTCAGCAACCAGTTTATCGTTAGAAGAACAAGCTAAAGTATTAGCACATAATTTACAAGTAAATAAATTTACATTGTGCGTTTTTGTTATACATACATACATATACATACATACATACATACATACATACATACATACATACATACATACATACATACATACATACATACATACATACATACATACATACATACATATGTATCCAGTGCTCGAAGTAAGGGATGCAAATCTAGAACTTTTTTATAAATGTATAATCTCGTCACCTTTTAAAAAAAGACCTCTTCACCTTTTTTGTATTAGCTTTAAGCCAACATTGTTTTTTATTTTTTTTATAATGTGATATGTTAAATTTAATATTTTCAATTTTCATGTATTAAGGATATACAAAGATGGTCTTCTTATCGAGTTTTTTATGCTTCGATAAGACCCTGAGTTTTGTATAATTCGAATCGCAGTACAAAAAATGTTATTTTATAGAATAAAAAGAAATGAAATAAAGTTTTCAATTGTTACTACTCTCCGTCATTCTTTTCACTCTAAGTTGACAAAGAGTTAACATGAGCCTTGACAAACAAGGCTGTGAAATAACAGATTAAGTGTGGTTCTGCAAGGGACATGGTGAGGATCGACATCGGATTTTTTCATTTATGAAGCGCTCTAGCACCACCACTATCTCAAAATAATGGAAATCCTAACTAGAAATTTGCATATCTCGCAAAACTTTAAACTGCAGATAAGTTTTAAACTTAATATAAAACATTCTGTTTTTCCATTTATTACAGAGGCAGATATTTTTTAGATTAATTTTTATTGAAATCTATATATTTGCATACAAATCTTGCATTTTATGCTAGTTTATAAATCTTGCATTTTATGCTAGTTTATAAATGTTAAAATTTTTATCTTTGACTATTTCATAAGGAAAAAGTTGAATGCTGTTCAGTTCATTATTATAAATTTTTTTGTTGTTGTTGTTGAAGACAGCATTGTCTATAATTAAAACTTGTGCGACGTACGACCTCGTCCTCTACCTTTTTTTTTGAATTAAAAAGTGCTGGATACAGGAGTACTCAGAGAATTGGTTTTTACTTAGTATTTACACGCCTGTTTTGTTTTGTATCATTTTGAGAAGTAGTGCGCTTCTAGAAAATTCTAATGTTATTCTTTTTCAGTTAACTGACGAAACCCGAAAGCGTCTCCTAAATACATTTGTTGGCAGCGGGTATAAGAAATCGATCGAGAAGAAATTGTTACTTTTCTTAAACTACAATAAATATCATCTTCCAATGTTTGCAGAACCTTCGATGTTTTAGTTTTTAATTTTTTGGTTTATTCATCATTTATATAACTTTATTTTTAGTTTATGCGTTGTAAATTAATTTTTACGGTTGAATTAATTTTTTTTTTTGAATTGTAAAATATTTTTTTAGATATATATCAATATTACAATATAGTATATGTATATATATATATATATATATATATATATATATATATATATATATATATATATATATATATATATATATATATATATATATATATATATATATATATATATATATATATATATTATATATATATATATATATATACACATATATATACATATATATGTATATATATATATATACATATATATGTTTGTATATGTATATATATGTGTATATATATATATATATATATATATATATATATATATATATATATATATATATATATATATATATATATATATACATGGCGAGTCTTCAGAGTTAATATTTAGGATTGAACTACTAAAATTCCAAGATTCTTGCAATTCAAACGTATTTTGAGACCCCTTGAGGATTCAAATTATTTGAGTTCAACTGTATATGTATAGATTGACAAAGAGTTTCTTTTTACTCGTTTGAATCAGTCAATAGGGTAACCTGAAGCGAAGCGAGACAATTTTTAGGGAAATGCTCGCAACTTGCGAAGAAATGCTTTGAACTGAAATAAAAAAAATTTTATTTTGTTAACTATCACTCTTGGATCATAAAATATTTTATCAATAATTTTAATTGCGTATGGTAAAGAGTCTGTTTTCAGTTTTTTACTTCTTGTAAATCCTTATAAAGTTTTAGATGCGTTTTGAATTTTGTTTATATTTTTCTTGTTTCCTTTGAGGCCAAAATTTGCAATAAATTTAGCAATAATTATTCCAATCAAAATTAAAAAAATAGCAATTTTTCTTAAAACGAATTTTCTAAGTTTTTTTAAATTATCTTTTAATAAATTTGATAAAGCTTTTAAAATGTTTTTTTATAGTCCAATAAGGCAATAGGTCCTGATAAAAAAAATGGAAATATTGATACCATCCTGAATCATTGATACCATCATGTTCTTGATTCATACAAAATCATAAAATATTTGTTTCAAAGCGTATAAATGTTCAATAAATGAAGGAGTTTTTCCTGATCAATTAAAAATAGCAAAAATTTCTTCAATATTTAAAGAACGAGACTTGCTTAATGTTTATAAATATCGTTCAAATTCTGTTTTTTCTGTTTTTTTCAAAAACTGTATTTTTTATAATAAAATTTTTAATCATCTTATTTTTAATAAAATATTGTTTAAAAACCGATTTGACTTCAAAAAATAAATAATGGTACTGAACACTTGTACTCTAAATAACTCAATATATCCCAGCGCGCATTTGTTTCTAAAAGTTATGTTTTAAATGTCTTTTAATCGTTTTCTAAACATTCTTAATTAAAAAACGTTTAAAAGACATTTAGAACGTAACTTTTAAAAACAAATGCCCGTATGGTATGAAATATTCGATTAAAAAGTCTAAATTTTACTTCAGGCTTTTAAAATTTACTTTTTTATTCCATAATTTTTTCGTCGATTTATCAAAAGCTGTTGATACAACTATATCATCCTTTTTCAAATAAATATTATGGAATCGTTAGAAATATCTAAAAGCTACTAAAAGGTTATATGCAATAGAAAGCAGTTTTTTATTTTGATCAATCTTCTTGATATTTCGAATTAAAAAGCGGAGTTCTACAAAGATATATGGGAATGTCCATAACTTACGCAACGCTAAATTTTTTCAAACTTAACTTTAAAACATTAATTTTAAAGCAAAGTATATATTAGATTTTATTTATATTTCGTACATGTCTGTCAATATATTAAGTATAACAAGCCATGTAATTATATATTTATTTGTATCAAATACATTTCTTTTCTCTCTTTGATTATCTAATAGCTTTTTATATCTGACTCTAATGCCACTAAGAGATTTTGCTAAACTGAAATTTTTTAATAAATTAAATATACAAAAATATCGCAACTAAAAGAAGTTTCTTGATGACAAGACCACATGGTCTTCAGCAAGTTTTCCGCGTTCTTTTAATAGCGTTACTTTTTTATATTTATAAATATAAAAAAGTAACGCTGTTAAATGGATACGTAGTTACGGTGTAGTTACATACATCGACTGACTAAAATAGGTATGGGGAAAGTATGAAATACATATATTTTTTTGCACTTATATAGTTTAACATAAAGTTGTATAAATTAACGGTAACTAAACAAACAAATAACCTTCGAAGATATATTTATTTTATGATAAACATATCATTTAAATACCTTCTTTAGTAACAAGTTGGTGTCGTTATGCAAGTTATATTAACATTAAATAATGTTTTGCGCTATTGCGTATTATTGTTGTTTAATAATCGTTATGCTCTGATGATATATCACAGCGATTTTTTTTTTTTTTTTTGATTGATTTTTTTCCACTTGCTGTGATTACGAAATTTTCGGACACGGATTTATCGAAAACAGTTTATTTTATTTTTACGCGCCGAATAACTTCAAGCATATAAACCATATAAATTCGACCATATAAACCATATAAATTCAGTTTATATGGTTTTATTTTATAAAATATTTATAGTTTAATTCATAATGGCTTCTGAACTATCTTTTTTACCGATAAAATAACTTACAATCAAACGCATGGAATGACTCCACCCATGATGCATCTTATGATCTAAAAATTCACACATGGCTTCATAATGTGTATATCTAAAATTCCAAATTACAACATATACCTTCTGATGACTGATGTCGTAAATATATACGTATTTCATTAAAAAACAGTGATTTTTATGTCTATTTTGCTTAAAACTATTAATTAACGGTAATTTAGACATATAGTTGTAAACTGGAATTTGAGATCCAATTGAAATTTATCTTTATAAGTAATAATATTGATAGTTAGGGAAACCGTAATTTAGTCTATCCAGCTGATTATTTCTAGTTTTAGTACTAGTTTTTTAAATTAAATGAATTTCAATATCTATATAGCTTTTAATGAGCAGATTTTGTAAAAAACCACACGATATATATTCACACTTAAAAATACATAACATACAAAAATACATAAGTATATATCTATAGCCCTAATTCAATGATAAAAATGGTAATTTTTGCAACTTTTTCATAAAAATTAAAAATGCGGACGTTTTGGACCAAATTTCGTATTTCTCAAAATAAAGCTTAGACCCACTGTTCTCAAAAAAATAACAATGTTATTTTCAATATTGTTTTCAAAATAATAATATTATTTTGAGATCAGTGGCTTAGACCATTAAAACTGATAGACACGGCTTTATAATGTTAATCTAAAAGTGACGCCGAAAAAAGTTTTGCTTAGTGACGTCAGTTTGTGGCAAAAAAATCATTTTTAGGTCGAGATTACTTTTGCATTTATCTTATATTTTTTAATTAATTGTAATTAGGGTGTATATAATTGCACAAAAAGATGTAAAATTGGTAAAGATATATTATTTCACGGATAAGAGTTTGTATTTATTACAATAGTAATTAATAAATAGTTTTAAAAAATTTAGTTTAGTTTATTAGTTTATTTCGCCGTTAAAAATATTTACAAAGTACAACAATATAAAAAGTACAATTGGCTGGAGCAAGAAGAAGGCATAAAATAGCCTTATCACCGAGCCCCAATAGTAACGCAAATATCTATCCGTAATATACAATAATCCGTAATATATAAGCAAAATTTAATAATAAAATGCAACAACTTAAAGCGTACTTGTCCTGTGATAAACCAGATATTATATTAGTAAGTGAAACATGGTTCAATGATAAATCAGTTATCAATATTGATGGGTACAACTGCTACAACAAAAACAGACCGCTTGGTGAAAATGGTGGGGGAGTAGTAATTTATGCAAAATCAACATTTATTACAACAAGTGTAAGTCATTTAGCATTATGTGACAATGGAATAGAGCAGATATGGTGTAGTTTGACCAACGGACCAGACCATTTATTAATTGGATGTATTTACAGACCGCCAAGTAGTCCAGAAAGCGTAAACACTAAAATCAATTCAGTGCTTGGAATAGCCAAAAGTCTAGTAGACCAAAAAAAATATACCGGATTAATTATAACTGGTGATTTTAATTATCCACACATAAAATGGTACAAAGATGGTGGAACAAAACTGAAACAAAACTGTGATATTAGTATAAAATTTATTGATAATTTAAATGAAAATTTTATTGAACAATGTATTTTTGGATCAACATTTCAAATATCCGACGAAGAACCTACAAACACACATGATTTACTAATGACAGATAACTGCAAAAGGATTAGAGACGTAGAAATAGGCGCACCACTTGGACCAATTGAAAAAGCACATTATGTAATTCAATTCAAATATGACATGCAAGGTGCTGACACAATCCCTATACAATTCAATAGTAAAGATATAAATTACCAAAAAGGAGACTATGAAAAAATAAATCTTGGTTTTAATTTAATAAATTGGTATGAATTATTCAAGGATTTAAACGTGGACCATTGCTACAGTGCTTTCGTACAAAAATATAATGAGTTGATTGAATTGAATATTCCAAAGAAAAGAGCCAGGTTTGATCAAAAAGTTAAAAAAGACCCATGCATAACAATTGAAGTTAAAGCTTTAATACGTAAAAAGAAAAATTTATGGAACCAATTAAGAGCTGGTAAATTTAAATATCTTAATAAATTAAATGAGTACAAAGCAGTAAAAAAATTAGTTAAAAGCAAATTAAAAGAATCCACTATTGATTATGAGAAAAATCTTATAAATAATGCAAAAAAAAATCCGAGACTGTTCTACAAATACGCGAAAAAGAACCAAAAAAACATCGGTAAAATACAATCAATGAAAAACTATGCAAATGTACTCACATCTGACAGGCATGAGATTGTTAATATATTGAACAAAAGTTTTCAATCGGTTTTTGTTAAAGAGCATGGTGAAATTCCGGAGTTTGTACCACGTATTACAAAACCTTTTGAATGGGATTGGAAAAATGTTGTTACAAATGAGGCAGTTCAGCAAAAACTGTATTCTTTGGA